AAAAAAAGATGCAAAAATACTCAACAAAATATTAGCAAACTGAATTCAAAAATACATCATGATCAAGTAGGATTCATCCCAGGGATGCAAAGATGGAAAAACATTTGAAAATCCATCAACATCATCCACCATATCAATAAAAAGAAGGATAAAAATCATATGATCATCTCCACAGATGCTGAAAAAGCATTTGACAAAATTCAACACTCATTCATGATAAAAACTCTCAACAAAATGGGAACAGAGGGCAAGTACCTCAACATAATAAAGACCATATATGACAAACCCACAGTGAACATCATACTTAACAGCAAGAAGCTGAAAGCTTTTCCTTTAAGATCAGGAACAAGACAAGGATGCCCTCTCTCCCCACTTTTATTCAACATAGTTCTGGAGGTCCTAGCCACGGCAATCAGACAACACAAAGAAATAAAAGGCATCCAGACTGGCAAGGAAGAAGTTAAACTGTCCCTGTTTGCAGATGATATGATATTGTACATAAAAAAAAACCCTAAAGAATCCACTCTAAAACTACTATATCTAATATCTGAATTCAGCAAAGTTGCAGGATACAAAATTAATACCCAGAAATCTGTGGCATTCCTATACACTAATGATAAACTAGCAGAAAGAGAAATCAGAAAAACAATTCCATTCACAAATGCATCAAAAAGAATAAAATATCTAGGAATAAACCTAACCAAGGAAGTGAAAGATCTATACCCTGAAGACTACAAGACACTCTTGGCAGAAATTAAAGAGGACACTAATAAATGGAAATTCATCCCATGCCCTTGGGTACGAAGAATTAATATTGTCAAAACAGCCATCCTGCCTAAAGCAATCTAGATTCAATGCAATCCCTATCAAAACACTGACAGCATTCTTCAATGAACTGGAACAAATAGTCCTAAAATTCATATGGAACCATAAAAGACCCCAAATAGCCAAGGCAATCCCAAGAAGGAAGAAAAAAGCAGGGGGGATTACGCTCCCTAACTTCAAGCTCTACTACAAAGCCACAGTAATCAAGACAATTTGGTACTGGCACAAGAACAGACCCACAGACCAAGGGAACAGACTAAAGAGTCCAGATATTAACCCAAGTATATATGGTCAATTAATATATGATAAAGGAGCCATCGATATTCAATGGGGAAATGACAGCCTTTTCAACAACTGGTGTTGGCAAAACTGGACGGCTACATTTAAGAGAATGAAACTGGATTACTCTCTAACTCCATATCCAAAAGTAAATTCGAAATGGATCAAAGACCTGAATGTAAGTCATGAAACCATAAAACTCTTAGAAGAAAACATAGGCAAAAATCTCTTATATATAAACATGAGCAACTGTTTCATGAACATATCTCCCCAGGCAAGGGAAACAAAAGCAATGATGAACACGTCAGACTATATATCAAACTAAAAAGCTTCTGTACAGCAACAGCAAAGGACAGCACCAGTAGAACAAAAAGGCATCCTACAGTATGGGAGAATATATTCATAAATGACATATCCGATAAGGGGTTGACATCCAAAATATATATAAAAAGCTCACATGCCTCATAACCAAGAAGCAAATAACCTGATTAAAAAATGGGCAGAGGATATGAACAGACACTTCTCCAAAGAAGAAATTCAGATGGTCAACAGGCACATGAAAAGATGCTCCACATCGCTAATCATCAGGGAAATGCAAATTAAAACCATAATGAGATATCACCTCATACCAGTTAGGATGGCCAACATCTAAAAGACAAGTGACAACAAATACTGGAGAGGATGTGGAGAAAGGGGAACCCTCCTACACTGCTGGTGGGAATGTAAATTAGTTCAACTATTGTGGAAAGCATTATGGAGGGTCCTCAAAAAACTAAATACAGAAATACCATTTGGCCCAGGAATTCTACTCCTAGGAATTTACCCTAAGAATACAGAATCCCAGATTCAAAAAGACATATGCACCCCTATGTTTATCGCAGCACTATTTACAATAGCCAAGAAATGGAAGCAACCTGTGTCCATCAGTAGATGAATGGATAAAGAAGATGTGGTACATACACACAATGGAATATTATTCAGCCATAAGAAGAAAACAAATCCTACCATTTGCAATAACATGGATGGAGCTAGAGGGCATTATGCTCAGTGAAATAAGCCAGGTGGAGAAAGACAAATACCAAATGATTTCACTCATCTGTGAAGCATAACAACAAAGCAAAAAATGGAAGGAACAAAACAGCATCAGAATCACAGAACCCAAGAAGGCACTAGAGGTTACCAAAGGGAAAGGGATTGGGGAGGATGTGTCGGAAGGGAGGGATAAGGGGATTAAGGGGCATTACGATTAGCACACATAATGTAGGGGGGGCACAGGGAGGGAAGTATAGCACAGAGAAGACAAGTAGTTACTCTACAGCATCTTACTATGTTGATGGACAGTGACTGTAACGGGGTATGTGGTAGGGACTTGATAATGGGGGAAATCTAGTAACCACAATGCTGCTCATGTGATTGTATATCAATGATACCTTAATAAAAAAATGAATGCAAGTGATCAAAACCCACCTTGTTAACTACAGAGCAAACAGAAGCCTGAGGATGACTGAGGTCATGGAGTAACTCCTATTAGGCAATCACACCCAGCTGTATGGAACAGAATCAATCAATTCCTACTTCTTCTACAGCAGGTTATCCCATGATACTCCTACTGAAAGAAATCTAGAAAAATCTAATCAGAAACACCTGACCAATCTCTTGAGCAACTGGAAGATACGGGATGAGTATGGTCTAAAACTCCAGATCCGATTGGAGATCTTATAATGCCTCAAACTTTTAAATGTCTGTGCAAACTGGACCAATTCCAAACCTCAGCCCAACCTACTGAGAACTTAAATCTTCAAGTGTCACTGGCTCCAGTATCCCAGAACCTATGAGCCTTTGGAATATAACTGAATTACCATCACTGAGCTATAAAACTTGGCCTAACAGCTTATGAAATGGCAGTATTTATAAATAGAAGGGAAAAGCAAATACTTGAAACTCATGTCAGGGAAAATATCATGACTACACTCTGCTGTGATACAACGGTGCAGAGATACCAGCCAACAATGTAAGAATCAGGAAGACAGCAGCAACTTTTGAGTAACTGAAAGCTGAGGAGGATACATCACAATATTTGACAGTCTTTGCAAACATCCTTCACAGGTATCAGTAAAGTTCAGAGCAGCAGGAATATTAGTAACAATTTCATTCAAGTTCAATGGAATCACCAATGTGATTACTGACCAAGTCCATCATCTTGAGCCCCTCCAACAGCTTGCAGTTCCTGTTCTTCAGCCTGTGGGCTTCATCAATGACTACGCAGCGCCATGGAATATTCCGCAGCTCAGGACAATCAGTCAAAATCATTTCAAATGTAGTGATGATGGCATGAAACTTATAGGACCCCTTTATCACACGACCCTATGAGAACAAATCTGAATTATTATTTAGCATTAAAGATTACACTGATAACTTGGAGGGTGAATAAATAGCATAAAACATATGTATTTACCTCTTTGGGTAAATCTTTACATATATCCTTATTTTTGGTAACATACTTTGTTTTCAAGGTATTTTGGAGGTTTTAAACTGTTATGGCATACCAAAGTTTCAAAACTTTTCCTTTTTTATGGCACTTTGGGAATTGTTAGTAAAATTTCGGATCCAATTTCCTTACAGATCACATGCAGTGAAGTGCCACTAAATGTGCCATTCTAGTTACACCCTCCAGACTCCAAAAGGTGAAAGGCCAAAAGGATTATATACCAAGATAACTTTCTAAAGCCTTTTTTTTTTTTTTACCTTTTTTCACTTTTTAACTTATCTCTTACTTTTAAACAGCTAAAATGAAAAACATTCACTTAGAACTTAAAACAATTTCCCAAATCTAAAGATAAAATATCAAATTAGATTTTAATGTTTTCCTCCTTTAAGTATTTAGTTGTAGGTCAGATATTACACTTAGAGCAAACAAACATGTAAAACAAACCTCTGTCCTAGTTCTACTCACAGGACTTCCAAACCACATACAGCTTAAAACTATTTTAGGACATACTGTTTTTCCTTGTCTCATCTAATGCTTCACTGTCAATATTGGAGTAATTGCATATAGGTAACTAGAATAAGTAAAAAGATCATAGCAATTACTCCTAAGAGCTGAGGTATAAATTCTTCCCTATCACTCAATGTGTCATTCAACATTACCTTGCTAATGTTTTTCACTTTTTCTAGGAACAGAACAACAAAATATTCTTTCTATTCACATTTAATGATGACTTTGTTTTGTTTGCTTAGATTTCTCTTAAGCTTTCAAAATAAAACCAATAAGCACATTAAAAGATTTTCAGTAGTTATTCAAGGTAAAAGTATTTCTTCTGTTCTAATAATCAGAATAACCAAAGCTATGAAAATAAAAATCTCTAATAGTAAGATGTGGAAATATAACACCAACATAGAAAGAAATTTAAGCAAATTTCTTAATTTTGCAAAATCTAGACATTCCCCCAAATGTGTAAAGCCATTTTAATATCCAAGGTCTTAAAATGCATAATAAGCATAAGGAATTATCACCTGCGATGGCTTACCTGGGGATCTTTGAAGTACATTTCATACAACTGAATGGTCCGACGACTAGCCTGACTTCCATGATACACAACCACGTTCAACTCTGTCCAGGTACGGAATTCCCTTTCCCAGTTGGGGATTGTGGACAATGGGGCAATTACTAAAAAAGGGCCATGGATTCCTTTCAAATATATCTCATAGAGAAATGTAATGGACTGGATAGTTTTTCCCAAACCCATTTCATCTGCTAAAATGCAGTTTCGCCTTTGGGAAGAAAATAAAACAAGGAAAGTTTAGTAAGTACAAATATTAGGCACCGCTTTCTTTTCACAAAATATATACTGTCATATGCACAGATTTATATCTTAAATATTCACTTAGATTCAATAAAATAATTTTGAAGCAAAATCATCTAAGACATAAAAATGATTTCAACATACTTCTATCAATCTCTGTATTAATATTTGTTGAATGAACAAATATTAGGCATACTTCAAAAGCTTGCTGGTTTTTATAATTATTTGAGAGTTAAAATGTTAAGTTATATTTGATTAATATTTTCAATAACTACAAAGGAAAAGAGCTAGAGGGTTGAGAAACACGTTTTACATACATGTTGTACCAATTGAAAAGAAGCCAGTTTACTCCCTCCAACTGGTATTCCCTGAGTTTGTTATTGTTTTTATACTCCCTGGAACTCTCAGATTTCTTCCAATCATCAGCAGGAGGTCGCTCCTGTTTCAAATATAGTAAATCCCATTAGTGGTTTCTCAAAGACCATACCACCATGCTATTTTCAAATTAAATCTACCATTAGCCAATTCTTACCACACGCTCTGTTTCCGGCTCCCTGGACATTAGTTTCTCAAACTCTTCAATCTTTGCTTGATCTAGGTCCTGCCTTAACTCCCATGTGCTGTCTTCATAAGGCAGTGAGCACCACTTCACCAGATAGTGAGTCACAGGCTGGGCCAGTTTAAATACATCAGAATTGGATTAATTTGATGATAATATAGACAGAGACAGACATAAAGGAAAAACATGCACTCTACTTCATTTGTTGATAGACACTACCTCAGAAAAGTAAGACAGTTGGGAGAAGTTTTAAAACTATCACCATTAAACAACAGTCCCCAGTTACAGTCTCAAGTCTAAACTGATAATATACTATTATTAATATTATCAGAACTAATTTTTATTTAAGTCATTGGTTAGTAATGTTCAAAAGACAAAATGTATAAAAAAATAGTAAACAACAGAGTGGAATTTGAGCCTATTCTAGTCTGTGCAAATTGCTCATCAAGTGTCTGATTCAGACTTCCATGGCAAATCATCTTAGTGTCTTTACATATTTACATAATTAGCTAGTTTCTTTAACAATGAGAACCAGGCCTGGGTTTATTGGAACATCTGCCTTTTTCTTAAAGACAGAGAGTGTTTGTATCCAATCACTTTAAAAATAATGTGTTTGCACTCTAGAAGATTGGAGAGCAAAATATTTTGGGTAATGCAGATCAACAGGATTTCATTTGTCTTTCCTCCAGAAAATACATTTATTTATTGACCTTCATTTCAGAACCAAGGTACACTGACCTGGTTGTGATGTTAAAAACATTTGCTGTACTATGTAATTATACTATGTAATTATACTATGAAACAATTTTTTTTTAAGTACAACTATGCAAAACTAGAAAAGTAAGTATCACGTGCTAGATACAGTCTTTGAAACATCATGGACTTCATGATACAGAGTTTGGAGTAAAATAGGAATTCATAGTAGACTTTCACTAACCAGGCAAGACTGAAGCACTCTATATAAAGCTTACTTACAAAAAAAAGCCAGAAATGATGGAACTCATGATGGGTGGGCATATTATTACCAAGACATGACACTCAGGAAGTCACTAGGCTTGTCTTTCCTCTTACTGTCCTATCAACTGTCCTTTACAGCCTCATAGGGTTTTGGTGAGCATCACAAGAATGTCAAGACTAGTATCTCATAAAGAGAAGTATTTTATATTATCCTCTAAGTACCACATTAAATGAAGTTCATCTCCTTCACTAAGGGTGTCCAATGTTAAATGACACTAAACTCCATTCTGCTCTAAGACCACTCTTAATTTTATAAGGGAAATTGTGCTACATGATAGATTTATATCAAAATGTACTGAAGTCTTTACTGATCACATTCTGGAATTGTGCAAGATGTCAACGTATATGTTTCATATTGAAAATTCATTTCTTTTGAAAAGCTCTCAGACAAAACATAAAACACATTTAACACTACTAAGTCATAAAACAAATAGTAAGTCAATAAGTTTCAGTTAAATTTAGCACAAGTGTGTCATGATCCAAGGCTCTGACCAGGACCAGATCTAGCATTCCACGACCATTCTCTGTAAACACATAAGCTGTCTGAGTCACTGCCCCCTAATACAAATGATCTTCTGTTACCTCTCCCCGGTCATCTGTGCTACGTGCAAAGTCCATTAACCGGTCAACCTCCACATAATCTGGATTAAAAAGCTCATCTTCAATCTGTACCAAAGGAAAAAAAAGTTAAAATGTTTATCTAATACCTGAGAGTACACGCTATTTCATTTTTCACCAGGCAATAATATTTTGGGTCACAGCAATACAAATTTTATATTTGGCAAATTCTATTATATTAATTTAAATGCTACAATTTAGCAAAATCATTCCCCATGAGGAAATTAGACTTCTCAGACTTTGTTAACTGGGTCTTTTAATTACTGTGTAAAACCTTTTTACTGTGAGAGAATGTTTAAGAATATTTTAAATGAAGTGTGAAATTACAATTCACTAATGAGCAATCCAAAAGGCTTATGGCATGCAATGCATTTTGAATCCTTGAAGCTACAGCTTACAATAAAGAATAAGAGCCATGCGCAGTAACTGCTATTGGAGCCTCATAACCACTGAAGTTGTTTGATACCTTACAGCATCACTTAGAGAATGTTATTCAAAAGCTAAAAACTCTGAAACCAGTTGAGTTTCATATTTTAGTGTGAACAGCGTTTACAGTGTTTGGTCATCTTCCCCAATCAATATTAGTACCTCATTTGAATATGGTCTTGACATTAATCTAAGTGTTCTAATGATTTATTTGTACTGAATATCGAGCATTTGGCTGAAAGTATTAAGGATAAAGAAATGAAGCTTAAATTATTGGGTTATTTAGCCAATATATTAACAATCCTTACAAAGTAATGTAATACAACTTGCTTGCAAAGTTATCTCATATAAAAGAATAGGATATAGCTCCAAGGGAAATTAAAGACTAAAACATACTTTAAAGAAGTCAATCAGATAATCAGAAAGCACAAGACACATTATGTGTTCCTACTGATTAATTTATCAGTAAAAAAACTTCATCAAATACTTTGCAAAGACATACTAGACACCATTCATATCCTTTAAATTGCAGGTTGAAAAGATAAGCTGTTTGGTCACAGTGGGCTCGAAGGGTAACAGCACCAAGTTTAATGTTTTCAACTTTGAATTATGAAACAAAATTCAGAAATAGGAAAATGTGTTTCAGCTGCTTCAGGCCTTCACAATGGAGTTGGTTAGCAAAACAAAAAAATTCACTGAAATGTTCAGTTAATTTAAATTGTTAATGTATCAGTGCATCAGCTTTGTCAAAAGCTTCTAGATTTAGGTACACAATATGTATGTATGAATATATATATATATATGTACAGCATACTTATACAGAGTAAACACTAAAACTTTCCATTAATTAGGTTTTGATAATAAAAGCTCTCTTTAAGACAACCTGTTCTTAAACAGAAGCTTTATCAAATTAAAATCCTTAACTTTACTTGTAAACACTCCTAACTTTCAAGCAAATAATTTATGCCATCATGTTTACAGTGCAATTTCCAATTTCGATAAACTTTCTGAATACAGAGATTTGAGTTGCAGTAGACTTGTAATGAAGCCTACAGTGCAACAAAGAATGCAAAAATAGTCATAACTGAAAATCCCACAGCAGAAGCATGGAATACCTGAAGCCATGACCATCTATGGGGGACAACAGCAGGTGTGTGTGTGCGTGTGATAAAAAAGAAAAAGAAAAAAGGAACTGGTATCCTTCTCTGCTAACCCTTGGATTATTTTCAGACTTAAGTTTATTCTAGTTCCATTCTGGACAAAACTTAAGATTTCTAGTTGCCAAGTTACCAGCAAGATCATGCATTCCAACCTTGATATAGGTGACCCACATAAACAGACCCAAATAGACAGGCTACATAGCTAGGACCAGATACAGGTCCCTGACATGCTTCTGTCTCTGGCAGAGTCCAGATAAATTTGTTAAACAAAACCAGGAGTTAAGGATGTGGGGCGGGGCTACTACTGAACTCTTTCCCTTTTACCTTTTTATCCCTTTTACTCTTTTATCTCCGTCCCCCATAGACGGTCATGGCTTCAGGTATTCCATGCTTCTGCTGCTGTGAGATTTTCAGTTATGACTATTTTTGCATTCTTTGTTGCACCGTAGGCTTCATTACAAGTCTACTGCAACTCAAATCTCTATATTCAGAAAGTTTATTGAAACTGGAAATTGCACTGTAAATGTAATGGCATAAATTACTTGCTTGAAAGTTAGGAGTGTTTACGAGTAAAGTTAAGGATTTTAATTTGATAAAGCTTCTGTTTAAGAACAAGTTGTCTTAAAGAGAGCTTTTATTATCAAAACCTAATTAATGGAAAGTTTTAGTGTTTATTCCGTATAAGTATGCTGTACATATAATATAAATAATATAATATAAATATCCATAGAAAAGGTCAGCTGAACATAGGATGTCTCTTTCTAATAGGAAGCTAATGATTTCAACTTGCCTAATGTCATAAACTTTTAATTTTAGTTTCATTAAGAAGGGCACAGAATTTTCACAGTATTTTCTTAGAAACTGCCCTTTCAAAAAAGAATCACCTATTCTCCAAGATGAAAGGAGTCCCATTTGATAACTCCATTCCCTTCAGTGCTAATTCTGCACTGCAAAGAAGTTTCATTCTCAGAACAGAGATGGAGACAGGCTTATGTCCAGTAAAACCACCACCACCCGATCTCCCATAAATAACAAACGTTACAACCTGTCTGTCGGGAGCATGTAAATCAGACTCTAGAAGAACACAGACTTCACCTGAGGGTATAAGGATTTTATAATATAAAAGTACTGGACACTCTTTTGCTCCCCAACCCCCATCTCCAAACAGAGAAGGGGCTTTGAATTAAGTTGTTAAAAAAGTATTATTTTGGATCAAATTTCACACTTCTTCACAATTTATATTCTATTAACTCCTTTACAGAAAGGAAAATGAATAAATCAGCAAGTTTAATCTTTCAATATGAAATTTTCTTTTTATCTCCTTGAGGCTGTAAGTGAAACCTATTTGGTGATCAGAAGTTCAGAGACCCCAGTAAGCAGTTTGTGAAAGCATTTTTTTTAAAATGTAATTCACTATGTTGGGGGGGAAGTTGGCAGTTCTTAAAAAAATGCAAGTTTTCCTCCCTGCCAAAAGTGTAATTACTTTCTCTTCATAACTAATAACATAGTAAAAGGGGGTAGGCAAAAATATCATACCAACTTCTATACCACAGCATGTCATTTGTGAAAATGAGTTTAGTGAACTGTAATCAGGCATTGACCTGAACAAAAGATATTTGCCACACACCTTCCCCAACAGAAGTAAATGCATATTCTAAAACATGTACTTAATACTCACCATAGTTTTTAACCCACCAAATCTTAATAGAACTTTTGTGTACTTACTTATTTCATTGTCTACTAACTGTACTCTTATTATAAGATTTTAATCACACAATCATATTTCCACATAATAGCTTAAGGACCAGTACCTTCTAGACTAAGCAACAGGAAGAATGAGAAATTTCCTGTTTACAAATGCTCTTAGCAATAACCACTTACCAACATGTAAGTAACAGCACCAAATGAGGCAAACTAGTTTGAATAATTTACTGAACTAAAATTCAAACTTCAGAACAGTTTACTAAAGTAATTTCTTCAGAAAATTAACCAGGTATTTCATACCTCTGAAAGGAACTTGTTCTGGCCCTGCTTTGCCTTAAATCGTTTGATCTTTTGCTGAATTCTCTTATCTTTTTCCAGATCTTCTACAGATGCCCATTGACAATGAAGATAAGAGCTAAAAGAATAAAATAATATACTTGACAATATGTAGAAAATAATTAATCCTTTATTAAATACATCTTTTATTACTCTGAGAAAATCAACTGAACAGATAATTACCAAATAACTTGCTTTAACTACTCACAGAGGTTACTCATGTTTCAACATGATCACTAATGTTTGAAACTGAAAAAATTAATAATAGTGTCTAAAGTTTGCCTACTGTCCTGAGCCTCAAGCTCTCTTAAGACACTCCCTATTAAAAATAAGAAAAGGACCTAATAACAAGCTGTTTTCATAAGTGAATGGATTACACTTCAATACAAAACAATTAGCACTATAGGGTGGCCTTAATTATGAATTTATGCATTGAGCTTTTTATCATTAATTGAGAATAAAAGGTTCTTATCAAGTTAAAAGAATTCAAATTTAAAACAGCACAGGTAAAGCTAACTTAGTCCTTGAAGAGCAATTGGTGAGAAAAGGACTACCATCCATTCTTTGAATATCCATGCCCCTAGCAGGCTCCTGAACAGTTCCTGCTTACCAAACCCCGTTCTCTCAGGAGCTCTGAAATGATGTCCCTCAAGTCGCATGTGAATGTTTCACTCCCTTGACTGACCAACACCCCTTTTGACTCACCATCCCTCTGAGCACATGTTGTTTTCCCTAACCTGAACTCGAATGCTCCCTTTCTCTTCACCAAGACTCACAGGTATATAGTTAGTATTTTATGGTATCTCTGACATTCTTATATTTGGCATTTTAATATTCTTTTGTACCATCATTCTCTCCCTGGCCCGATAGCTTCAACTATCTCTTATTTCTCTTTCTGGTTAGAAAAGAAATGAGGTTCTTAAATACATATCACCTTCAAAATCAAGTATACTACTTTTAGAAATTGTGCAGTCCTTACAATACCTTTCAAAAAATGATTAATGATATGGGAAAGGTTTATGATATTAAATATCATATCATTTATATCTATGTAATGTCTAATATGAATTTTCAAAGGTAGGACTGATTTAGTCCTACAACTGACTGAGGGAGATTAGGACTTCAAATACCTAGGCCTTATATCTCTATGAATTGATATAAGTCCTATAAATGCATAAACACAGAGGGAGTAGACTAGATGAGAATGCCTCAGAATGTTCTTAATGATGGTGGTAAGAATACAAGTATTTTATTTTGTACTTTCAACTTGAACCTTCCCCTAGTTTTCAACAAATGATATGCAATACAAATAAGAAACAAACGTTACAAAAATAATCTAGTCTAGTCTTCTAATTATTGGATGGAGAAGTCAAGTGGGCCCTCAGTGCTCTTGTCTGAAGTGCACAGCCTTGCAAGTGCCACCAGTGTGGCTGGGTGGTGGGCACAGGCTCTAGCATGTGGGTCCAGCTTAGGTTTCCCTCTTGCAAACTGGGATGAAATTTTCAGCCCATGACTGTTTTACAAAATGCAGAAAAACCACAGGCTTTTCCACTAAGATCAGAAACAAGGTGAGGGTGCTCACTATCTTCACTATTATTCAATATTGTATCTGAGGCAGTAGCTAAGAGGAGCAATAACTGGAAAATAATAAGTAAAACTAAAATTGCAGATGATATGACTGAATAACTAGAAAGCATTGGAAAATCAATTAGAAAACCAACTCAAAACAATAAAATAATTCAGTAATGGAGCAAGATATAAAATTAACATACAGAAAGCCAACAGCCTCTATTTACACAAATGATAGCTAGAAGATACAATGGTAGAGAAAACCTTTTTTTGTTAACAATATAATACTTAGCAATAAATTTAATTAAAAATATGTAAAACTTACACAAGGAAATACTTAAAACCTTCTGAAAGACAAAAATAGAGTTGAACCAACTGAAAAGACATCTTTATTTTTAGCATAAGTTATCATAAATCATAAATTTGTGAATTTAACACATGTAAATAAAAATATAAAGAAACATTGTTATGGAGCTAAACAAGTTAATATTGGACTTGCATATAAAAATAAACATGCCAAAATATCCAGGAAAACAGTAAAAAGGAAAAGCTCTTAGAGGAAACCAGATAATAAAATGCACTATAAAGCCCCTAGAAGTAAAATAGTGTGCTACTGGCTCAGGAATAGACAGACCAAAGCTCTAGAATAAAGTACAGGTATATCCAAATAAATGCTTAACTTCAGTACATAATAAACGTTACATCTCAAATCACTGGGGCTAAGATGAACTCTTTAATAATAGTGCTAGAACAACATTTAGAAAAGAATAAATTTGAGCCATGCTTTACACTATACATAAAAATAAGCAACAAGTTTAGGATTAGGTACCCAGAGACAGAAAACAAACCATGCACGTACTAGAGAGAAAAAGGTAACTTCCTCTTTAACCCATGTATAGGGAAAGGCTTTCTATGACTCAAGCCAGATCCAATAAAAGAAAAGATTAATAAATCTAACAATGTAATTTTTTAAATTTATAATGTAATAAACATAAAATCAAAAGACAACTGAAACTGGGAAAAGGTGGTTGCAACATATAATGCACATAAAGGACTCATATTCTACATATACAAAGAACCTTAAAACTTGAAGAAAACAATAAAAAAATGAGCAGAAGACATGAACAATTACCAAAACAAGATATAAACATGGCCATTCAACTTATAAAAAGATGTTCTATCCCATTCACAATAAAAGAAAATATCAATTAAAACTACACTGAAATATGATTTCTCACAAAAAGTAAAAAGCAAAGCATCACACTGTATTGTAAAAGTTGTGGGGAAATAGGTGCGCTCATACACTGTTGCTGGGAATGCAAACTGACATACCCTTCCGGAGGGGAATTTGGCAATATCTAACAGAAATATACATATTTGTTTTTTGATACAGCAATTTCATTTCTAGGCATTCACCCTGAAGCTATGCCTCCAACAATTTGAAAATATGTGTGAGAATATATATTGCAACATTATCTGTAACTGTAAAATATCAGAAGCCATTTACATGACCACATACATAGGAGATTAGCTGGATAAGCTAAGGTATGGCCATGTAATGAAGTACTATGCAGCTATAACAAAGAATGAGGATGACCATATGAGTAGATGTCAAGTAATTTCCAGAATATAGTACTGCAAAAAAAGCAGTGTAAGCATGTACTGATAGTATGCTATTCTTTTATGTGTTAGAAAAAAGGGGGAGCAATATATATTATTATAATTTATATATAAAAGAGACATACATGTATCTACATGTATGTAAACATAAATTACATAAATATACATTTGCATATTCATGACAAAAATTACAGACAGGATAAATCTGGAATTAATGAGAAGGTAAGTAGGAATGGTTAGAAAGGGAGGGTGCCACTTCTTTGAGTATCCTTTTATGTACAGTTCTGACTTTTGAACCATGTGAATATTTCCTGAACTTGAAAAAAAGAGAATAAATAATATCAACAAGGATTGGGGGTCTAAAATGGAATACAAATACAAACAAAAACTAAAGAACCAAGCTCAGTATCAAATAAATGACATAACCACCTTGAAAGGGGGGCAGAGGGACGAGAAAAACTAAGCCAAGGAAGTTTTAGAGGAAGTATTTAGCCTCTATACCCTCAGGCTAAAGACAAAAAACTAAACAAATACTGAATGAACTCTAGTTAGTAGGCTTCTTTTCACAGACATATGATCTAGAAATTCTGAAACCACTTCTAGGACTGACAAATAAGCAAATAAATTATGGATAATAAGAACGAGGTTTCTCATGGTCAAAGAATGGACTTATTAATATTGGAAGGGAAAGGACAGAATAAACCCTGTGGTGTTGAAATAAAATTGGAACTATCAATATGAAGGCATTGTTTTTCACTGCTCTTATTAGGTAAACAGAGGTGTGTATGTAACATATGTGTGTATGCACAATGTACACACATGTGTGCAGCTCTCCTAGCCATATCCACTGAGAAAGCCTAGAAGGAATAACTAACTCCCCAGGAGCAACTGGCACCCCTAGTGTCCAAATCTTGGTTTCTAAATGCCCTTCTCCAATAAAAACAACCAAGGCTCCCGGGAGAAATAATTGATCCCAGGACTTAAATGGGGAAATTACAAGATGAGTCGAACATCCTCTGGTGCCAGAAAGAAAGAAAGTGCTCAAAGAAAGGTAAGGGCAAGACAAAGGGAGAGAGGAGCCAGCTTGAAGGGGCTCCCATTGGCCAATTTTGGGATATTGTGACCAAACCTAAATAATGATATAATAGTAAAGAATTAAAATCCATCGAATAAAATGAGACTGCATAAGTCTAACACAACTATAAATAAGCAAATGTGTAAGAAGGTAAAGCTCTTCCTTACAGCAGAAACCCAACTAATAAATATTGAAGGCATAAAGGAATTAGTATATTACCCTTAATAAAATCACCCTAATATATCTGTAAATCACTGCTTAGCAACCATGATCACATTTAAAAGAGTTTCACAGTATACTTTCCACAAGATACCTTTTACTTACAAAAAAGAAACAGGAATTCTTTGTACTATTTTTGCCATTTTTCTGTAAATCCAGAATTATGCCAAAATAAAAGGTTAACAAAAACTGTTAATTTTATGGAAATTTTAATTTCCCTTAGATCTCAGTGATACCAGACAGGAAAGCTCTTTTTTTAGAACTACCTTTGCCTCATCTCACATGACTGGTCTCCTCTGGCCTGGCAGCGGTCCTGGTCAGGAACCCTTTGCACTCGTGTGGGCTGTGTACAGGCTAGACCTGATGTTGCCTGTGAAAACAAGACCTCAGGCCCCACTGTCACACACTGATTCAGATGGATGCCTATCAGCTAGTTCCATTTTTTGGCGCTCGATACTTAAAAGTTCTTTGCTCTGAGTTTGATTTGATAGATCTGTCAGTGAACTCTCTGGCTTACTTAGTCATCCTCCCTACCTATCCTTACTACTCTCCTTATATGGCTATGCAAAATCATATCATGTATAATTTCCACATGGGTGACGCATCATGCTCTCAGTAGATGATGACAACATCTAATATTTACTGAGCATTTTTTTATTGCCAGTCTCTGTATTTCATTGAACTCTCACAAGAATACAGACAAGAGACTTCTTCATCACGTTACCCAATAAAAGGTTTTGCTCACAAAACTTCAGGAATGTGTCAGTCTATTAAATCAGTACCAGATGCAACAAGGGAGAATGGCAGAGCCCATGAGTCTTGATGCTTGTATTTTCTAGGGCAGGGTAACTTTTTCTTAGGCTGTTTTGACAGCAACTCCCAAAAAGTCTCTCATTAAACCTAGCATTTATTAATGTGGAACTTGGGTTCCTTGCCTTGCCTTAAAAAGTTTAAAGTAAATTTACTTTTTATGTCATCAATAAGTACTTTTGTCCTTGTTCTCTGATTGTTACTTAGGTTAGAAAATGGCCTCGGTGTCCTTCAGCACAACTGTTCCTTATGCCTCATCAACACATGTATTTGGTCCTCATATACGATCTACATCTACAATGCAGGACAACATCCCATTGTGTTTCTATTCAGTTTTTTCAAAGTTATGCAATTATAATTCACTAGGTAAAAATTAGAAACAAAAGCAGAAGAACAAAAAAATCATAGCTCACTGCACTTCAAAATGAGATGTCACAATTTTTTAGAGCCTTCGCCTGGCTGTGGACTTCTCATTTCAAGTTCCTGGAATTCCCCTCACTGATGAAGGGAGGGAGAATGGCCCCACAGAGTAAAATTCATTCTCAAAAGGGTAGGCAAATACTACTTTACTCATTTTTCTACTATTGTATGAGTTTTTATGATCTCTAAAAAGAACTTCTTGGTTATACATTAAAGTCAGTCAAAAAATTTTTTACACCAATTACAAGTTTTCCAGAAAAACAATATTCATAAAATATCAAAGACACACAAGTTAGTGGGCAATGGCCTCCAGAGCACTAAATAAACCATACCAAAATTTCCCCATAACCAATTATTTTTTAAATCATTTAACCATACCAAAATTTCCCCATAACCAATTATTTTTTTAAATCATTCTTCAGAACTTTGAAAACATATTCCCCAATTTTAAAAAAATCGCAATCTACTTACAAGTTTTTGTATTTCACATAGAATTCCTCAACTTCTACCTCCTCTCCAGATTCCTTCTGCAACAGAAGATTTCAGACACGTACTTAACACCACCTACTAGAATATTCCAAAAGTAATGATTTACTCCCACGTGAACACGAAGTAGGAATGATGAAAGCAGCACAGGGTGTTCCTGTGAAGATGAGCAGGCAGGCTGTGAGCGGATAGGTCCGCGAAAGGAAGATGACGGCGTAGGCCCACGCCCGCTGCTGGATGTGCTCAGGTTCTCAGACATGAATCATTTTAACTCCTCCCTAACCACATGCAGCTTCATTCACAACAACCTGACCCCAAATCTGGCTTCCTGCCAAACCCACAGTGTTAAGTAGACGCCAAGTGTACCATTTTCTCAGGCAGCAGCCAATTAGCAACTGCTCTCCTGAACGCCGTATGTATTATTCTTGGCTGCCTCACAGCAACTTTACATTGTGGGTTTTGTAATGTTTTAAAATATTTAAAAGACATTTATTCCTCCATATACTTAATAACTCTAAACAAGAAACCATATAAAACTAAACCCTTGTTCTTAGGCTGTAATTTCAGTGCATCACTATGCACAGCTTTAGTTTTACTCAATGGTACAATTAAAATCTCTCAGACAAGATGTTTCACACATATAGCAGCCAAATAAAATTAACACCCCAAATACTACATTTAGGTAAGGTTAAAATTTGATACACGTCAGCCAAATCAAGAGCTCAGTGGTAAGATTATCTGTAACATCTCCCTTGATCCTTCCTAAGATAGAGTGTGCACAGGATACTCAAACAATATTTTATGTATCTCTTTCAATATTTTTTTTCCTTTTGGTTTTAGGCTGTTAAACAAGTTGTAATATGCAATTTTCTCTTGGAACATTTGATCTGATAAATCAGGGATGTAAAACATAAATACCACTTACAGATGTTTAGGGATTGCTTTTACACTCTTACAAGAGCACCCAAGCCTGCCCTGAGGGTCATACTTGGCTGCTAAGCCACCTCAGAGACATGGTGAAGAAAATTCAGGCAAGTAGGAACACGGTAGAGGACAAAGGAGCAAAGCCTTCTACTAGGTGACAGGCTGGCATGGGATCTCTTCAGACTACAATTTCCCCTCAATCTCTAATCCTCCAACTACTGTCAAACATTGGGAATGTGCACTTTTCTTCAAAATTCTCACATGTGATAGTTAAACCTCAATTTTACATTGTTTTTCCACCTGCCTAGAGATCACAAATAAGATAAGATATTCAGGAGTGTGGTCAAAATCCATAAATATCTGGTTCTGCTCTAACGGGTCTCTAAGAGATCATAACCAGAAAGTTGATTTTTTTAAACAATATATTCAGAACACCATTTATGTCCTAGAATTTTAGTTGTCCAAGATGAAAAGAAATGTTTGCCGGATTTCTTTAAGAGCCAGCAACATAAACCTGGAATTAATCTAGAGATAAATTCTAGTCAATTCAAGTGACAGTCCATCAAAGACCTACCCCTTACCTTTTTCTAGCCCCAGATATTACACATTACAGCAGTCATTTCAAGACACATCATCTCTGCATAGAACTGGAGATTCCAGGAGAAAGGCAAAGTAAGGCAGTAGAGCACCAACAAAAATAAGAAGCCAGGGTGAGCCTGTATCTTTGAGGGGTGTCATGGTGTATCACAGAATTCAAACCTAGAACGGAATTCAAATGTCTGGTCTTTTACTCTTTTGATGCTAACAATGTTTCCTTCAATTCAGGAAAAGCTCTTCAGAGTTATGTATCCTTGAGGTGGTAAACAGACATGCTCTGCCATTTCTGTGTTCTAGTTCTGATCCCCTTCTTCTGATCTTTCCTCCTCCACTCCCCTGCCAGACTCATTCTGAAAGGTCTCACCATCCCGTAATTTCTAAGTGGGCACCAACACAGCATCAACTCTTGAATAACAGAGATGGTTTTCATTTGGTCTCAACTCTGTTCACAGAATGCTCTGACTTTTATAACCATAAACTGTCCCTGACTACCATTAATACCCATTTTCTTGTCATGATCAGCTTTCCTCTGACAACCTATTGCGGAGGTACCTAACAAAGGGTCTAGAGCTGTCTGAGAGGAAGCGATGAGGTTCTGAGACCTAATTTGGTGATACCTGGAGCTCATGAAGAATTGCCCCAGGACCCATCTTTTTTGGATGCCTCAAATTACAAGCCTGTTTTGACTGACCACACATATTGGATCACCTTCTTGTCCCTAGAACTATAAGGAGAACTGTTTTTCACCCTCTGTTTCATACGAATATGATCATGCTGACTTCTGCTTTACTAACAGCAAAACAATTCATAGAAGTCCATGAACTCAGATGCCCTCAGGAGCATCATGTTAATTGTTCACTGAATGGCCATCAGTCTGACCAGACTCCAGTGATAATTGAAAACAGCCTCAACCCCTACCCAAAAACCCAATTCTCAGAAGTCTTTGCACAATGGGCATATCCAATGAATAAATGAGTCATGGCACACTTTCTGTGTGTACGTGCACACCCATACACACAAATTTATTATTGGATGGTTACCATTAAATTTGAAAGCCCCCTAAAATTAGTAAGATATTTTTAAGGAATGTGTTTATCTTTTCATTAGACTACAAAACTAGTCTATGAAAATCCTTATTGTGCATATGAAATTAAAAGTTCCAAACATAGGAAGCCACATGTTTCATTGTTCACATGAGCCAGAAACCTTGACTAGGCAATAAATTGACTCGTCTAATCACCTGGATTCTAGAACAGCCATCCAGCAGGTGGTAATCCTGTAGCGTGAATGAACGAATGACCTTTCCAAAGCATCCTATTACTAAATTAAGTAGTCACCCTAGAGAAAAAAGCTAAACTATCATGTAAAAAAGGGAAAATTTTGTTAAATAATGCACAGAAAAATGAGAAAGCACCTCAGTAAAGATAACAATAAAGCAAAAATATGAATCCATTCCCACTTCTGGCCCAACCTACTATATATACACAACCAGAAATACCAAATGGTAGTTTACTGAGAGACAATATGGCATAATAATAAATGGGATACCTTCTTTACACACTTTTCCTTTTGGTACTGAGTTCAGTTAAAGAGGATTAAAACACTCTGGAATTTAAAATAAGCTCTTCAGGAAAAAAAGGTATCACGTAGGTACCTTAGAATTTCAGAGAATATGGTCAGAATTCACATATAAATTATTTTTGACCTTCCAACTCAAAAGCATTTGGATTATTGTTCCCCAAACACAGATGGCTCAAAGCAGAAAGGGCTACACAGTGACTGAATGTGGAAAACAAAAGAATTAACCTTTGTTATACAATCCAAAAGCCCGTTCTTAAATCTACCACAAAATTCAAATACAAGGATCAACTACATGCCTTCCATTGGGCCTCAGGCATGTTGACTCGGGTTTAGACACCACCAGCACCTGAGCCAGCCCTACCTGACAGAGGCGCTGGATCAGGGTGGCTCTGCCAGGTGAGCTCCGAGTCCACACACCTCCACACAATGGGTCATCCTTCTCAGGCTGGAGTTATACGGGTAAAACTGACTGAAAACCAGTCTTTGAGTCCCCATTACATGTCAGCATCATGCACAGGAGGCTCAGAGAGCTCATAGCCAGTTTCTGTAGTGCACCCAGGGGAGACAAAGGCACCTTCTCACAGCTACACATTCAATTATTCATGGCAATAAGACAAAGACCAGCAGGCATAGATGGAATCCACAGGAGAATCTCCAATTCCCTTTTGTTTCTAATTGCAATACTCTTCTCCAATGTTATTAAAGCTGGTAACTAAAGTAACTATTTCAGGAATACCAGCAATTTTAAAAGTCAGTACCTGCTAACGTTTACAACCTTCTAGTGGTTTTTTTATTGCCTTTATGAAATACCTATAATATACAAGCAATTCAATGAGTTCCACATCTCTTCCCTACTTTAAAAGAGACCTCAAGGCATATCTCCCCTTGTAGAGAAATTTTTCCATTAATTTTCTTCATGCTAAAATTACCAACCCAACAAATATTCCATCTTCATGTACAGCTACAGTGATTTTTTTAAAAATCCTATGATAAGATAAACCTGGTCACCTGTAAGTGGTAACAACACCTATTTCTCAACTGTGGGTACCTATCTGTAAAGGGTAGTGAAGGGAAAAAAGTAACAACCCTAAAGTGGGCAAAACAGAAAGAAAAAGCAATGTACTACATAATGTGTAGTCTAAGTAGCTCTAAATAATAGAGCTAATTATAATCTGCAGCCCCAAAACCTGTTGAGTATGCCCGCTGAAGCACTATCAACTGAATGAAATTAGTGTGTCCCATCCAAACTACATGCTATTTACTCAAACAAGTCACTTCAATTCAGTGAAGGGGATTATTCTTTAAAGCATGTCAAGTACTTAAATTTTACCATGTATCTACAATTCACAAATTAACAGTTCTAGAGTCATTAGAAGGACAAAAAAGGAATCTTTCTAATGAGTTAATAGTATTCATTTCTGCTTGAACAGGTGGGAGGTTTGGTTGAGATTTTATCATTTAATTCATCAGAGAGGAAATCCTCATGTTTCAGAAAGTCACCAGATAGCCATTCTGTATCCCCTACACTCAATCTGAAAATGTCTTGATATGTTATTCTTGATTGTTTTCATATGAACTAGACTAGTACATTCTGGTAAAATTCCATACTTTGAATAATACAATAAAAAGGAAACAGTATTAAAACAAAGGTAAAGAAAAGTTTACTGCTGGAGCAACACCATGTTCAAGGATCTCTAGAGAGTAGTACTAGAATGGTAAAGCTTTCCCATTTGATAAGCCAGGGATCTCTCAGTAAGTTCCATAATTCTTCCATTCCTCACCTCTCTCAATGGGAAGTTACACTTTGCATACATTTTACTCAAAAAAAAAAAAGCTTATTTTATACATCAGAACAATGATGTACTTCCACCACTTTGAGAACAAATAGAGAGCTGTGTGTTTAACAGTGATTCAAGATGGAAGACAGGCATCGATACCTAAAGAAGACCACTTTCTAGAGATACTGAAAAATTATAGGCTGGAATATGCAAATGCACCTTAATGTCTATGTAATTCCTCAAATAAAGATATCAAACTGAGAAGGGACTGGCTGAGAGGAAGAGGAATCTCCATCAGTAAAAGAAAATAGAATGTTCCTGAATTCTTCTTCTCAGAGTAAGTGCGTCCTCAATGACAAAGTCATCAGACTCCTGACAGGTACCTACAGCTCACCTCTGCAGATCAACATGAATTTTTAATAATTCTGAAGTCATATTATCTTCAAAAAAATACACTGAATATAGTTCTGTATTTCACTTGTGCACTGACAAAAGAGATATTGATGACTATTTTATGTATATGAAATAAACATTATGAAAAGTATGACAAAACACCTACTCACTAAAATGACAAACTTCCATCCTGCAGGAGTGAGATAGGGAGCAGAGAACTTCCGGAGGTGGGTGAGAGGTAAGTTTATGTTTATGATTTTTATGAATAATATTTAAAAAAAGGGAGCCTACACCTCTGAAGTGTCATACATTTCTTTGGAGACTTTTGAGCTTCTTGCCTACTCGAAATGGTGTAATAAAGCACAGGTTATTTGATATATTTCAATTTCACTTGGAGCTAAATATACCAAAGATTTGTATTTAGTTAACAAATGAGATGGGATTAGAAATATCACCACAAGTTTTATTTTTCAAAAGTGAAATTTTTAAAATTCTAAAGCAAAAAATAATGCAAGGGTCACACATACACCATAGGTTTTGATCACTCCAAATGGCGCTTACCTGCTTTTTTATTGAACGACTGCTCATGATTTTTTCTACCACTGGACCTTCTGCATCAACAGATTCCTAAAAAATAAAGAAGAATGAATCAACCCAAATGGAAAACATTTCATTCTGCACTATATAAGCAAGAACTCATTCTATTTTGCATCTACCTCCATACCTTTTCAATTCATACCCTTGAAATCACTGAGAACAAAGTCACCAGTGGGAAATATGAGTGAAAAAACTAAACCTCTCACTCTTCAGAAAGGCAAAGGAAGGTCTGTGCCCATTACTTCATGATTATGTGGTTTAATTTTGTGAACTAGCATGGCTCCCCTAAAGCCAGGGAGCATTTCAGAAGCTCCAGCTGCCAAGAGAAAATAATCTCCACATGACAGCAGTCAAAAATATAGCTGTTCCTCATCTATACCCATGGGGCAAACATACTCATCATTCTGTTACTGTAGGCACATTTCATCTATGGACCTCACATAAAACATTATACAACAACTTAACATAGCACACATTACCAAATAATATACAAAATTGCATCTTAATATCCTTTTCAATGGCTTACCAGTTCGTTAACTAAAATGCAGTAATGGTAAGAAAAGATCTTTTTTATAGACCTTTACAATAATCAATCTGACATTACTACCCATATTTTATACAAACTATTTTATTCATCATTTACATTGCACAGAGAATAAAGTGTGCCCTGCTGGGCACTACAAGGCAGTAATTTCATAAAGGGGTTCTTGCAGTGCCTCACAGTAGGAGACAAGCTTGAGTGGTTTATTAAAGTCCCAGAAGCTATGGCACTGAATTCTTCAGAGGTAAATTCAGTGTCCTTGCATCTTAGCTCTGATTCTTCCTCAACACATACCATTAATTCTCCAGAATTGTGTCAACTTACACATCATAGGCTTGTATAAAAATAAATTTTAGTGAATGGGTCTTTTTAAAAAACTACTGCTAAATGACTAATTTCCCCTGGTATTAGATGAATGTTCCTGGCTCAAAGTCCAATACTTCAACTGAGCTTTGCAGATTCTAGCTATAAAATTTCTAGTCCATCGTCTAAAATGAATACAAGAGCCACACAAAACTGGCTGCGAACCTGCTGCTCTGACTGCGAGGTGTTGGAGGGGGAGTCTCTCCCAGCAGCGTCTGCACCATCTGCTTCCTCGTCAGAGATCTTGAACTCCAAGTCTTCCGTGTACCGCTTCCTCTTTACCTGTCTGCTGGAACGTCTCTTCTAAAACAAAAACCCAAAAGGTGGGTTTATATGCAATCACTGATATACTTTACAGCTTCCCAGAATGGTAAGCCATATATTTTTAAAAGTTAATCTTAAAGAAAAGCTGTTATTTTTAACCCTGTAAATCCCATAAAAGACGATGATGGTAATGAGTATAATGGAAATGGGAAATCTGAAGTCGACACCTGGGATGGCCAGGCCTCTGCCACCCCCAGCTATGTGACCTTCAACTGGGAAATGGAAATAATGACAAATCTCACTCCTCACTAAGACAGTGTGTCACCAAAGAGTGAACACAGTACTGAAGCTGGGTGATGGGTATCTAGGAGCTCATATACTATTTTCTCTATGGTTGTATGTTTTAAAATTTTTCCCATAGTAAAAAGTCCAAAAAAGTGAAGGCATTAGAAGATAATATGCAAATCATAAAGTTCTCTATAAACACTGAGATAGTATTTTGGAGGGTCATTTAAATAAAAGTTTGCATTTTAATCTTGGTCCTAAAAGAAAGAGTCTGAGTATTTTTGAGGAGATGAAGGATTGAATGCAGAATTTATAAGGAATGACTATGAAAGTAATTACATGTTAATTTTTTACCACACTGATTAAAATGTAGAAGTCTGATAACAGCTAGTATTAGTAGGATCATTGGCAAAATGGGCCCTCCCCAACACTCACGGTCAGAACAGAGCCCTTTTCACCTTTTGCAGAACAGTGTGGCCTCCTATCTATGAGGATTTAACACATGCCCACCCTCTGACCCAGCAACTGCACTCTTAGTAAGCTACACAACATATCTGTGGAGGATCTGCGAGGGAACTGTGAAATAAAAAGAAAAGCAAGTCACATAACAATAAGTAGCTTAAAATTCTATGACAAAACACCTATGTATCTATTTGTATCTGTGGATCGTCAATATACGAACTCCTGAAAACAAAAACACTGTATCTTGTATACTTTTCTATGATTCCATGAATATTTGCTTAAAAGAAGTCAATTCATATGTGTCTATTTCAATAGAAAATATTTTAAAAGATACACAACAAATTGTTAATAGCTCTTAATTCTAGGGAGTGAAGTAAATGGACCAGAAAGAGGGGTTTTACACTTTTTGTTTAAAATATTCCACTCTTTGACCTTTTTGATAAAATAGTTTTGTGAAGTCAATAAAATATGGAGAGAAACAACCTGTTCTTTAATACATGTAATAAAATCTAAGAGAATTCTAAAATGACACCTGTAAATTTTAAATAGCTGCCAAATACAAGATTATGACCTATGATCTCACAAAGTTCAGAGAAGAAATAAGAATACTGAGAAAAGTAGCATGTGAACTTCTTTCTAAGAATTATGAAATACAAGTTTGAAAGAGCCTTGTGAATGCTCAGTTGGGACAGTAAGACAGCAAGAGGCAAATCAACCTGCCGTGTGGACCTAAGGAGTTGACAGGCACGGCAGCAAACCCCGGCACGTTGTCCCAGAGAGCAGGGCTGTGTGCTCTCTCTGCTCTCCAAAGGGTATGCGAGGCAGCTCACAACACACAATCTGACCATCAAATGAGTTGTGTGAGACTATGAGCTCTTAGCCCTGCTTGGCTTCAAAGGCACAAAGCACCTTTCTGACACAGACACCTGGGGTAACTTCTTACTGACAGACTTGCTAGTGGCCTAGCCCAAAGGGAGTAGCAATGGGCAAGAAGTTCCTGCTCTGACCTTCCCTCTGCAGTCCTGCCCAGAACCACCAATTCCAAGCACAGGTCGGGCAGAAACCAGTGGGGGTTCTGTCATCTGTGACCCTTCCCCCATCAGTAGGGGCAGTTTGACTTCATGGGTCCTGGAGCCAAGTGCCCATGTTTGAATTAGTCTAGATTCTTACTATGTGACCTCAGATGAATTATTTTGTGGACCTCAGTTTCCTGATCTGTACAATGGGGTTAACGATACCAACTACCTCATAACTGTACTGTGAAGATCACATAAGGGAAGTCATTTAAAGCATTTAGAGAAGTGCATGGTACATATTAATGCCAAATGCAATTAGTAGGGTTAAAGTCATCATGAATTAGCTCCACCTTTACATAAAAAAATCATAAAACAATGAGGCTACAAGGCCCAGATGCCTTGTACAGCTTCCTCTCTCTTTTCCCACAGCTGATTTAGTATAACTTTTGTACCTGTGCCCACTTTACCATTCTCCATTTCTCCATGGTCATCTCTTTAAGATATGAAAGGCTAATGATCAAGAGAGATATTTTAATTTTGTGAAATTCAGCATGATGTCTGTATTTCATTTGATATATCAATTTAACTAAACTGAAATGGATTTTCATCTTTACGGCATTACTATAAGGAGGACGGTGCTACTAATGATACATCTGTGATGTTTTATCAGGTTTTAATGGGTGGAGGACACTGCCATAGTATTCTTTCAGCATAAATAACTAAACACTCTTGGATAAAGTCTAAGATAAATCTACTTTATACTAAATCCCACTCTGACATTAAAGAAATGTTGTAGTATAATAAAACATGGGACTTTTTTTAGATAGAAATTTATGTATTGGTGGACACAACTTTTTTATAATGGAAGTTTCTTCTTATTATCAGCTTTGTGTTATAAATCTGTGCAACAGTGATGGGATTAGTTAGTAATGGATAGATATAAGGTCACTTCATATGAGTAAAAAAAAAATCTAAAATAAAATTAGAATTCAATTTTCTGAATGTTTAAATGTTACTATGGTTTCTCTCCTTCTAAATAATAACTGATCTTAAGGTTCATTTATTTTAGATATAAAGGTTCTTTCCACAATTTATCAATATAAAATAAAATTATTTATTACATAATATGCTTCTATTATGGTCTGTTAAACTACTATCATTTGAAAGATTTTTGTGAATCAAAATGAACTGTGATAATTGCATTTAAGCCATAACTTGAAACTTTGGAATTGACACTAAGTGACCCTGTTAAACTAGGATTGCTTTAGAAAAGTTACATGTAATTAAAACTTGTATACTGAAGAGAAGACTTACGTGTATCTCTATGTTCTGTTGGAGTACTATGTGACACAATTTTGAGTTCATTAAAATAATATGGCATTTACTAAACTTTAAACAAATCAATCACAAAATGCAAGAACTTTAAGCCCTTCGTGTATATGGCACAGGAAGAAAAACAGTAAACAGCAGTCAGCATCACTTCCTGTGTCAGAGACGTAGAGAAAGGCCTGCTTTCAAGTCAGACCTGGCTGTGTGGTTGCTACTGCTCTCTATTGAACTGTTAAACACTAGCCACTAGGAAGTATGCACCAATGTTCATTTGAATTGTTAGCATTTTCTGTACCTGGTATGCAGAAGAGAACAAAAAAAGCAACAAACTGCTTTTCATAGAGTCCATTTGAGTCTGCATTAATACAAATAGACTTTTGAGAACAAGCAGTGGTATTTGTGAAAGAAAAACAGAATTTTCTTGACTCGTGTGAATAAATCTTAATACCATACAAATGCTATTGTCATAAAGGTCCTAGTTTAAGCAAACACAATTCAGGAAAAAGCATGCTTGAACATACACATTAAAATTGAAAATCATCAAAATATTTTAGTTTAACACTTCCTAAGCAATTAAAAATGATATCTACTTACTTACCCAATGTCTTTTCACTCATGTGTAAAGTAAAAGGAAATTGCAAAATTAACCCTAATCACCAGAGGTTATCACTATGTTGGTTATAGAACCAAACCAAACCAGAACACATTTGTTCATTCGTTCACTCATTCATTCATTCATTTTCTCTCTCTCTTCTCCCCTTTTCAGGTCCTCTTTAGGCCATTATGTGAAGTTACAGATAACAGGGAGTTCTATTAAAACAAACAAAAAAGCTCCAGTCTAAAAATTCTTTAGACTGGAGCTGTATATTGCAAATATTTTGTTTCTAGCTTTCAAGAGAATTTGTAGAGTTGTAGACAGAAAGTCCTGAGCATGCACAGAATAATTTGGGAAAAGGCAAGCCAGCTTCTAGGTGCTGGCTTCCTATCCTAGCAGGACTCCTCAGTAACTGCTCCTTGGTAACTTAGACATCATTCACAAAAGTTACATTCCCAGCCATCCCAGTGGACCATACTGGCATGGTTCCAGGCAATGTAACAAGGAAATAATTTTTAACAGTCATGTGTAATGAGTCCCTTACCTTACAGTCCAATTGGTGAAAGTGGGGTGCTTTACACACAAGAACCTAAATTCTTAATGTTTATTTCAGGGCTAGTTTTTCAAATGACTCCTATAAAATTCTCCAAAAGTCAGGAGAATCCAACACTGAAAAATTCTGCAGCATTGTCATCCAGGAAGTCACTAACTTGTTCATAGAAACTTTAGTATTACATGAGTATATGTCAATTCTGTCCATAAGATGTCAGAAACCTTAAGATGAGCTATACATTACATCTTTAACATTTTTGTTCTGCAAAATAAAAGAACTGACAATCAACCAAACTTCAGAGAAAATAAGAAATGTGAAAGAAGCTTTAAATGAACCAATATACTAACAATATATTAACACTAAGATACATAAACATCAAAAGATACTTCCACAGAAGTAAAAGAAGATTCTCCGTTTTATTTATCAGCAAAGATGGCAAAACCAAGAAGCTAGACTTTAATTTCACATTGCCCCCCACCCCTGTCATCACTACAGATAGAACATCCCAGACAACAATAAAGCAGCTGTATAACAAAGACAGGGGAGGTCTAGTGTACTTGGTATGCAGCTGAAGTTACCCATACTATTTAAATAACCAAAACTCAGAATCAGAATAATGGTATTACCTGAACACCTGGGTCCTCATCTTCTTCAGGAAGAGGAGATGGTGGGGGTGTTTTGTCTAAATCTGAATTTTCAGAACCTTCTGTTTTTCCCTTGTTGACCTTTTTCTTCAAAGCACTTGCTTCTGAATCAGGTTTCTTATTACTAGAATTCAAAGTGGATCACTTAGTGTTCACTTTTTAATGAGGTTTTCCACATGCTCCATGCCTTATATTTCCCACATTAATAGCCCTAAGGTATCAACAACAATTGATAAATCAATGTATGGTGGTCATTTATAGTTAAAGAGTACTCTCGACTAAGTTTTTATGGCAAAGCCCCATATTAATGACCTTTAGCAAATATCTAATTAAAAAGAAATTGCATGCAAAAACTCCTAAGACCACACACAGTACATTTGTTCATCTAAACAACGCAGAATCCCTGCCAATACACCAAGGCATAATGAAAACTCAGATTAGGAAGTAGTTTTGCTACAAGTTTTTAAGGTACAGAATATGGTTTTAAAAATTGTCAAGGAAAACTAGAACATAATGATCATTTCTTGTGCCTCTTGCAGATAATTTTAAATACCTCTGTTGAAGTTTTTTTTTTGACAGCACTGATAGGCATCCTCTTTTATATCATCCAGTGACAATTTTATCCAATTTATAACCTTTTAAAATCTATAACAAAATATGTAGCAATTTCCTGTTCTACAAAATTTCATTTATTGTGTCCTTAATTAAAAGCAAGCTTTATTTTTTATTTTTTGAGGTAGTCACATTAGTCTTTTTTTCAAAAGCTGAGTCTCTGAAATACAAAAATACAGCAAGTGACTGCAATAATTAAAGTACATGCTCCATAGTACATTTCTGCCAAATGTTAACAGGATTTGAATGTCGCGTAAGTCAAAAGACATGAATGAACTCTAAGAAAAAAGTTTTCTTAACTAAGTTTACCATCACCTTTAGCACCTTTGACATTCCTTTAGAATGTATGCTGTTACCGTCTCTTCCAATCTCAAAAGCAGCCCACAGTTTTTAATATCATGTATCATTTGTTATCTGACATTTAAAAATAATCTAGTGTCAGATTATACTTACTATTTCTAGAGAGCCTAAAACTCTAATAATTTTTTAAAACAAGATACATTTCAAAAAACTTTAAAAAGTTTATTTATTGAAGTTTATAAATTTCGAGAAAAGTATGCTGATGGAATGCACTAAACAGCACTTTTTTCAGTTTCAGCTCCTACAAAAGGTAAAGAGGCCAAGTCATCTCAATACATTTTTTTTACTTAAGGAAAGCGTGTGTCACATAAAACATTTCTAAAGCATGTTAATATAATATGGCATCCGTCACACACATAAAATGTATTTTTGCAATGAATAAAATATCTGCTAAACTTAAACTAATTATTTTTAAATACTCAGAGCTTGTTTTCATCTTAACATTTTGGCATAGTAAACAGCCACATAAGGAAATAACTTACAACAATTCAAGATTATAGCAAATGGCAGTTAGGTTTAAAGAGTTCTTTTTTTTTTATTGGGGGGGGGATGTCCTAAAAACTTTAAGTTCCTAAAAGATCCATGGAAAAAATTATATTTTTTAAATTAAAAAAAAAATCCATACAACAGTTCCTCATCCAACTGTCCTAGTGTTTACGCTACACATGGACAGAAGTCTCCCCTACTATGAGGCTCCATTTCCAGCATTTATTTCCGCTCTAACTGCCACAAATTATACAATACTACAGCTGAACGCTGGGCCCCTTTCCTTTCATCTGCACGCCAAGAGCAATCAGATTACCCTGGTAACCAGCGGTCACATGACCAGCACCTGCTCTTTTGGCTGGATGCCACTGACTAAAGCCATCTGCTTCCCTCAATCAGCTTTCAAACATTCTCAACACCTGCGCTGTAGTGTTTTGTGGTTTCTTTTATCAAATCAGTGCAAAACTGCTTCCAAAACTTTACATATTTCTCAAATTTGTTTAAATCAGAGGTAGGCCTGTCACAGAGCTGAACTGCTGCCAGGTAAGTTGGCTGCTAGTGCTTTTCATGGTGACCTCTCTGCACTAGAGCGAAGTACACAATTTAATTTAGTGGGGTTACCGTGCCCTGGGTGAACTATCCAATAGAAGTAAAAGGCTTACTGTCTTGAAGCCCACCAGAGCGCAGGTTTGATGAAACATCAATTTGCTGAAGGAGAGAAGTGCTAATGATTTTCCATCTGCCCTTCTCAAGAACGAAGTCTGTGGAACCTCCAAGGTTGCCCAAAGTCGGATAGGACCTCTCCAAACACTTAGATAAAAGGCCTGTAGCCAAGCGAAGCTCTCATCCCAGATCTGATTACCACAAGATTTCTAAACTCATTAGACCTTGCACTATTAATGTTGCTCAGAGACAGCTAAGCATTTCCATGCTAACATCTTCTCATGACATTAGTATACAAATCAAAAACACACTAAGAAGTCAAGCTACAAAATCATCAATGCCCACCCGAAGACATTACAATCAAGGATAAGATAAAATTATTTAAATTAAATTGGCTTTGCTACTGTTTTGCAGTAAGCTAATTTGGACTTTCAACTAACTGTTATATTAAAACTGCTTTGCCCAAAAAAAGCCAAACTCAAAAGAGTTTTTCTTTTAACAAATGAGGGTAATAAAGAATGATGGTTAAGAGCACTGATTTGAATCAGACAGACCTTAGTTGAACTTCCAACTCTGTCATTTATAACCCCTCTGTATGTGACCCTGGTTAAGTCTATTTCCCTGAGCCTCAGTTTCCTCATCTATAAAATGAGGTTGGTAATTATGTCTTCCTCCAAGATTCCTTACGAGGCTTAGGAGATAACGGATGAAAAACATGGCGGTGTCTGGCACAAATGGCCAACATTCTTACACATCTGGAAGGCAAGCAGCTGGGAGAATATTCTGGGAAGTCTGGGAACATAATCTCTGGCTGTGGCTGGGCCCCACTTAGGCCAAATCAACCTCAAAGACTTTAAGGCAGAACCCCAGTTCCCTGCGATCACTAAACAATAGTCCTCACACAAGATAAAAGAAAAAACAAGCAGACAATCCCAAAGGCCACCCTCCTCCAAGCCCATGACCATTGCTTTAGTTCAGACAGGTATCATCTCCCACCTGGACTATCACGATGGCCTTCCTGCCACCTTGTCACCCTCACCACCCTAGGGCAGGGTTACCAACCATCAGGCTGCTCCAGAAAGGACACATATCCCACATCTATAGTTGTGACTTCAATCTGTAAGGTTCAAAGCTAGTGTTGTATAATGTCAAAGCCACAACAGCAATACAGATATTCCTCTTCCAAATTATAAGTTGGAAGGGGGGATGCACAAAGAGGGCAGCTCTTCCAGCTGGAGAGGAGAGAATGTTATCGCTAAGTCCCATCCTTAGCCGGCACTGCAATATTGGAATGAATCCGCTGAGCTGCTTGGTCCAGAGACAGAACCTCCACACACCTCCCGCAGCTGCAGCGACGGCTCACCAGCTCAGCCAACACCGGCCCCCACGCGGCCACCGTCCACTGAGGATCACAAGAAAGACCAGGCATGCATGGGAACCCTCCCAAGTTCTAGCCTGAATGGCCTCAGCCCTGGAGAAGTCACATTTGTCTCCCTCTCCTCCTGCATGAAGAAGCAACATGGTACTGCCACCAACATAGCAACTTTAAACCCACCCTCCACATTGCACCAGAGCAGCCAGCTAAACTGCAAATCTGCCTGGATCATTCTTCTGCTTCAAGCCCAGTCCCATAGATTGCAAATCTGAGGTTTTCAGCATTGGCATATAAAGCCCTTTTCAATTTGTGCAACTGGCAAGATTAACTTTATTTCTCTACTATTCCCATACCCTAAACCCTCAACCCTTCATGCTGTGGACATGCAGAAGCAGAACCACTCCTTAAAGCACACACCCAACTCTTCTACTTCCAACCCCCCACCCCACCCAGGGTTTACTCATCTGCAAAACTTGGCTTGAACACCACTCAGTCAGAGATGCATTTTCTGACCACCACAGTCTGGACTAATAAGATCCCCTCCACCTAAGTGCCACTCCACATTTAAAATACACAAAGTTTGGTGCTAACATTACTGAATGTATTAAAACCAAACCACTGTGGTGTGTGTGCCTTTCTTCAACTCTCTGGCACGCTCGAAGAGAAGGAACTGTGGCTTATTTCTCTTTGTATTCCTAGTGCCTGCTGCTAATGTCGGTTACTTACAAATGTTAGCTGATGAATTTAGTACAGGTAACTGTAACAACACACACACATGCACAGCCCCATACTGTGTGCCAGGCACTGTTCTAAAGTGCTTTGGTCACTAACTCATTTAAGAAAGTCCCACACAGATTCTATCTGCATGAAGCTCAGTAAAATGGGGCTGAACTACTACCAAATAGAGTGAAACTTAGCAATTCTTCAAAACCAGCAATCTATATACTTCCCCCACCTACTCACAAAGCTCTTCCATTTCCTGGTCTTTATCTCCTATCACTATTGTAGTGACCAAGATACAGAGCCAGCCGCCCATGAAGCTAGACAAAACCTGGTAATCTTGGAGGGAACACGTTTTTCTGGGTATGTGCTGGCAGTTTGAAGTGCCACCATCCCTCCTTCCACCAGCTTTAGCTGCATTTCACATATCATCATGGAGGCAGGCAGGTCACATGGGAGGCAGCTGGATGTGCTCAGGGCCCACAGCTAAGTGACACTTACGTCACCGGTGCCACGCCAAGCTCTGAAGTTCTCTGACTGCCCACAGGGGGATCAAAGCATACAACACTGTGATGAGAACTCTGAGAAACATGCATTAGGAGAACACAAACATTGTATTTGGAGAAAAATACTTGCTCTCTGGAGGGACATCCTAAGGAATCTACCCTTTATGGAAGGATTCACATTCAGCTTAGGACTGTAAGAGTTCCACAACAGTAGTATTGCCTAAATGGGGTCAAATGAACTCATCTAAATTAAGGTAAGGCACACAGATTATTCATTCTTTTTGGTGAGAAAAAAATGCAGGCTTTTAAAAAAAGACTATGCAAAGGACCAGGACTCACTAGAAAGCCAGCTGGCTGCCCTGATATATTACAAAACAGAATGCAGTTAAATATTGATTAGCA